ATGCAATGGCAAACACTTAAGTCTAATGTTAAGTCATCTTGACTGTCTATAAAAGTTACTGCTTTGATAAAGATTAGATACCTATTTTATAGAGAGCTTTTAATGTAAATTTCATAGATACAATTTTCAGATTATAGTGGTTCTTCCCCCCCATACACGCCCTTCCACCAAACCATCCTACTTCCTACTCCCTCTCCCATCCCATTCTTCATTAAGATTCATTTTAAATTTATATACCCGATTTAATTTTGGCATCTCTACATGATTTTTCCAGTTTTGAGTCCACATTGAAAACAAAGGAAACCTGAAATCTGATGTAGAATGCAGCTTTAGTTATTCAAATATAATCAAGTCCTATAATTTGATTATCTCAATAGATATGGTTAAAAGTAGGAGTATATGTACACAGCGCTCCAGCTGGATAGGTTTTCTTGATAAGCCATCTGTCCAGAAATAAACCACTTTGTTAACTGATTTGAGGTCTGTTCAAATGACAATGTCTTCGTTTACAAATTTGGTGCTATCACTTAAAGTCAATCTGTCGATTATGTCTCCCTGACTTAAAGTATATTGCTACCTTTTGTGATCTGCTGTTAGCATTAGTATTTACTTCTACCTCTTTCTTCCAAGGCCATAGAAAGAATTTTTTTTTTATTAATAGTGACTCTAAGATTGGGAAGAGACTTAAGCTATTGATCAGGGAAGTGATCAACTCTTGGCTACTATATTGAGCTAATAGAATTGAACTGAGGGCTGTAACTCCTCCTACCCATCTCATATGTCTGAGCTGCCTTTTAGTCTTCCCCTACCTCTGCTCTTGATATGTGATTAATTTTGTACAAGTTTTATCTGGTACTACGTAAGTTTATTCTATTAAGTTGACCAATATTTCAAATTAATTTTATTAATGATTTTCCTACAAATATTCCCTTTACTTCCAAAATGCCTATATATGATGAATGGGATCCATTTCTAAATCATTTATAAGTCATGCATTAAAAACATTGTTTGTAGCTGCACATTTCACAATGCAAATGATGTGGATTTTAAGAAGGGCTGTACAAGTACAATAGAAGTGGCCTCGCTTGGAACAATCAGCTGCTGTTTGTGAAAGTGGATGGAGATTTTTTCCCAGTGCCTACGCACTTGGTGGGTATAGGAGGCTACTTCTTGGAATTGTTTGCTTCCTACGCTAGATGCTTTCAACAGCTAATATCATTTCTGCAAATGACAAGACAAAGAAGGGCTTTTTAGAGGGCAAATGTATCACATTTTTAAAAAATCCTTTTATATTCTTAAAATATTGAGTTTCCTCTTAAGGTATTCTTGAATGTGATTTAAAACCTATGGATTTCTGGTTGGCTTTGACTGAGCCATTTGAAGTTCTTCAGGATCAAGAATAACATTATGCTTAAAGGTGCCAGAGTCAAATGCATTTATAAAAAAGTACATGGATGCCTCTCTACATCTGGGTACCAACATTATTGCAATGATATTTAGAACACTGGTCTTTCAGTTGTCAATATTTTGAGGTTTATGATCAGTAAGTGGTACAGCGTCACATTTTTTCATTGGTAGAACTGTCAAGAACAGTTTGTCTTTTTCCCTCTACGCGCCAAGTGTGGACTATTTCAGATTCCATTATAGAGGAAATAAGCAGTTGGTTTTAGACTGAAGATGAGCCTAGCAACCATTTGCACTATATTGATGTCAGAAGTATCCCTCTGCCAAGCTCTAAAATGCACCTTCAAAAACTACTGAAAATATCCCAGAACTTTAGTGATGAGCTACAAATGGACTTTGGTATTGATAAGTAAAAGTCAATATGTATAGTGAAAGGACAACTTACTGTGATAAATGGGCCCACCATCAGTAAAGATCAAATTATTGACTATCTGAGACTAGGAAAAACCTGTCTATAGCTAACTTCTACAGGTGTGAAGAATTAGCCAAGAACAGCAATTCAGGAAACTCTCAAAGAGACATGTAAGAAGAATCCATTAAAAACACATACAAAGTAGGTAGCAACATTAGTGAATACACTGGTGGCCGCTGGGCTAATATATTTTGGTAGGGATGAGGGTGCAGGGTGGCAGAGGCATCTGTAGGCTGACACTTCTTGTGCTTTGATAAGCCTTCCTGTGGGCTTCTTGCATTCTAAATCCAGGAGGTCTACTTTAGATTCCACTTTTGGAATGTTGTATGTCATGCATCCTCTTGGTTACTTTTCATAGGACTTCAGCTAGAGCACATGTTGCATGAGGACACATTAGAAGCTTGTTCTCCTTACCCTCACAATCTAGCATAGAACTCTGCCCACAATAAGCACTAGATCAATAGTTGATTTCATAGTTTTAGAAATGATTCATTAGAGAAGCCTTGGTCACACATAATGTCAGAGTTTAATGATGAAGCATCACAAGAAACACCCCGAAGAACAATTGCAAGGATTAGTTTATCAACAAATGGAAAGTAGAATGGCAGCAATTTCTTTCCAAAGCTTTCTGCTCCCAACTGACAGAATGTAGGTATTTCTTCTATAGTTGTTTCATTGGATTCTCTATTAACTGCCTGTAAAAATGACAAGTCTCATACCATCTAAAGTATGGAAGCTAACATAATTAAGCCAAGACACCTGAGGAATAACCTTATCTATTCCCCTAACTCCACACAAACTGTACCCTCCAAAATCAAATAGAGGGGGAAAAAACTAGGAACACTGTATGGCATCTACTAGCACAAGTTTAAGATTATGCGCCAAACCTCTTTAGAGTATTGGGACGTCAGAATATCCTGGGACTACTTTATCACCAGTAAGTATAGCCATAACCATGTTCTAATTCCTTTCCCTCTTGAATTTTACAGCATCTTCTAAATGTTTGGTACTTAATATTTGTTAGACAATTAGATGAATGGATGAAAGTTTCAAATTATCAAAGAACAGTATACAGAATGATGGGTACAATCCAACTGACCAAATAAATGCCTCACTGGCATTTAGCAATGAAATTAATATGATTAATTTCTTCTTATAAACCAATATTCTAGAAAGTTACCAAGAAAGATAAATATAGGTAATTAAAAACAAGGCTGGAAATCTTGACAAGTATTATTCTATATGACTTTGATTTATTTACCTATCCCAATTAAACCTTTCACAGCAATCTGTAGATTCAAATTATGAAATGTTGCTAACCTTGAGCAAATTAAAGACAGCTACTTCAGTAACCACTTATGTCATCCCTGTTGCTCCAAGTCAAAAACTCTTATCACCATTAGACAAACAGGCATCTTTGGCTCAAGTAGGGTTCAACAGGACACACAGAGCTAGCAGAAACACAACTGAAAGCACATTCCTCTAAGGCAGCGAGCATCCAGTGTACTGCCTGGGCTTTTTATTCCTTTCAGAAATCCTTGCAGGATACCTTTCATGGCCCAGGCACTGTTCTACAAATATACAGGGCACAGAACTGAGTAAGACAGACATTGTGTCTACTTCTGTGTTTTTAAAAAATGCTCCAAATTAGGTTTATTTTCTTAAAATAAGAATTTCCTACATTTCCCATATTTTGTTTCCAAATGAGGTTTTAGAGAAGCAGTGAGTTCACATTATGCATGTGTTTCCGAAGAGCAGAGTAGAAAAGGACTTCACGAAGTCTGTGGGAAAAAGAGAAGCAAGTTTTTTTTGCAAAAAAGATTTTGAAGTCCATGCAAATTTCTCCATAATACACATATTCCATGGATTTTTGGATGCCCTGCTCATAGTATCTGTGACCCCAGGAGGTTAGTGAAATAGTCTGGAGAGAATGTTTGAGACTAGTAGCATAACTCTTGGCCATTCAAATTTCTACCTATGGGAGCCTCAGGTTATGGCCTCAATGTAGTTTCTTCTCCATTCGCACAAGCAGGGCAGTGTGGCAGGTGCTTGGGCCTTGGGTGGGATGCCTCTGTGTCCCATATTCAGTATGTGAGGGAACAAGCTCCAGTCTCTGCACTGCCTACTGGTCTCCTAGTGGATATTTAGTTAACAGCAGCCCTGTGCCAATAAACGTAGTTCATGCATGATTATATATCTTATTTATGGCTTATAAACATGTTATGTGGATCTAAGAGGTACTGGTAGTGTTACTTCAGCACCTTATGCTAGATGAAAAGTGCATGTGCTCAATAATAAATACACATGTATAACATTTGGCTTTAGACAAGCAAGTGTGACATAATTCACGTTACTAGAGGTTGGCATTGTTTGAGTTTCTTCTAAGGCAAATGTGATATAGGAATGTTATCTTAAGTTGGACCAGTTATTTTTCTAACTTCTAGAAAAATGCAGAAACTTCAGTCTGTTTCTCCAACAGAATTAGTGGATATATGGTAGTTCAGAGGAAATATAAGCCCTCTCCTTATGGTCATTATTCTTACTTAGGAAATAGTATTTCCTGACAGGTTGTCTGCAGACCTACATTCAGAATACCAGCCCTCCTTATTACTGTTTTCAACCCACCATTCCACATTTCTAGATGTAGTTTCTATAGGACTTTTCTACGTGTTTGGTACCATGGTTTTTAATTCTACACAAGAGACCAACATATACGAAGTGTTTATTAGCTATCATTTGCACGAAAAAAATAAACCATTGCCACGAGTGTGGAGCTGGTCTTTCTAAATGGGTTGTGTTCTTGATGTGTCCTGTTGCCATCCTTTGACTACATTGTTTTAGATTTCTGCACTGGAAATACAGTTTCTACTTTGGAAGGATCACTTTGTTACTTTGTAGCTTTTAAGCTGATGCCATGAACTTCTTCTAAGATAAAGTCTCATCTATAGATTTTAATTAATTACATATCTGCCAATAAATACTTAGAGGATACATTTTATTTCAATTTATTATTTGTGTTTACATTGTGTGTGTGAAAATATCTGTGGAATAAAAGGAAATGGTTTAATGGTGTTTACTGGTCCTTTTTCATTGCTCTCTTCTTCCTTTTCTCCTTTTTAAATAGCACCAGCCAGTCCAGTCAAGCATGGCAACAACTCCAGCTCGGCAAACTTCCAACACGCTGAGGACACGCCTGACAGAGGTGTCTTAGAAGCATCTGAGAGTCCAGGTGAAAGCCATTTAAAAATGGTCCAGTATAAAATGATAAATCTGACAGAGCTTTGGGGTCCTTGGAAGGGGGTGGGGGGAGAGGCCATTGTAATGCTGTTTTCTCTTAGCAGCTGCACTGTCAAATTAATGGTCACCTCCAGAGGTCACGGTGTGGAGCTGTTATCTTTTCCTCTTTCATCAGGAATTCAGTTGGAGGAAGTACAAAGGCTTTACGACTGAGAAGGGAGGCCGACACTATTCGTTCATTATCATCAATTGTAGGCTAAACTGGTTAATAGAGGCACAGTGAAAACTGGAAAATGGCAACATTGTAACTATTTCCAAGAATGGGAGCTAAGAAAAGTCAAGCCCAAGTGGAGAGGTGTAGACAAAGAAACTGTCTTCATTACCGTTCAATTTACCCTTCTAAAGACTAACAGGACTAACTGGAAGGAGAGGGTTTCAGCAGCAAAGTAGTGGTTCTTTGACTGTTTTATACACACACACACACACAAAAGCAAATAGTAAAATAGCATCCCTTTCCCACACAATAAATGCACTCTACGTCCGAGTTACTTCAGTTGATTTTTTTTTTTTTGAGTACACATAATGTTGTGGCATTTATTTTTTAACATATGGAAAGAATACACAGAATTATACTGGCAAGATACAGCCAGGAACACTGGGCATGAATTGTTATTTTGTTTTGCTTTGAAGCATGTGTAGTCTTAATAACTGATCAATTCACGAGAAAGTAATCTTGTAACAGTTGAATGACATCCCTAAATCACTACAAAGCCCTAAGGTGCTAGAAGGAACCTTATGAGTTGAAAGGGTTAAACATCTCCCTCCCCTTAGTATTTCTCTTGTTTTTAACTGTCTGCTATGTACCCTCTCCCCTCTCCCATCTTTGTGTGCCGATCCATGTATCATAGTTTTGATTCATCCTTTCTGTGGCCTGTCAGCTTAGTTAAGAGATTTCCAAATGTTGTAGCTCTCACTGACAGGGGGCAGATGCAAACAGTCCCCCGATCCTTCCCTGAGGAGAGCAACCGGGATTTAATTTTCAGTGAAAGGTGCCGTCTGCAATCTATGTCAGGTCCCCTAAGTCATCTCGGAACCGTTCCAGGCCCAGTGGCTATGGCACTGCGTGTCAGCCCCCTCGACTACACCACTATTGCCCCAAAGATGAACTACTGCCATGTGCCCATTCTCAGCTGTACCTCTGCTTCTGTTTCCCATGGAATTGGAAAATTGCTTCTTTAGCAAGGACAGGCACTTTGAAAGAGCAAATTAACCCCACCCCCACGACAATATCTCCAAGAAACATGTAGGTTATATATGTCACTCTAAGTAAGAGGGCAAAGGAATTAGATTTCTATAATGAACACTATTTAAAAATTACTTTTAGTTTGGACCAAAATCCCTATTGTTGACTAGGTTTTCAAAGTATCTGAATAGTTTTCTATCAGTCACTTTGTCAGGCACTTAAAACCAAGTTTTTACCTATGAGTTCAATATTTTTCAGAGCGCATCAGCCTTATACTGTTTCAAAAGTAGAATTTCAATCATCTCCTAATGTGGGTGGGATTGAAGCGAGATTTAAGTATAGCATATTATTCTTTTATTTCTACTCATCGGACATATCAGAAAAAAATTAGAAAATCTAGGTACCACTCAAGCATCTTTAACTTAAAAAGTGAGTACTATTCTCTACTTGGGACATCATTAAGCTTGTAATAAAGAATGAATTACTCTGGCTTCTTCTTCTGTCCAGTCCTGCATTTTAAGACATCTTGCCTTATAGACCTAGAAACCTCTGGAGACTTCACTACTGGTCTCACTGCCTTCCACCGAGAATTTGTGGCTTGGTTGTCATGGAGACATCGTATTTCTCCAAGAATTGCTCATATTGATCCGTGGCCAGGCGTAAATGGCCAAGCGAGTGTGCGGAATAAAGGGGGCTGGGCAGTCCTATGAAATGACCAGGGCTTGTGGGTTGGAAATAAGCTCATAGCAAACACTTAGGTAAAAAGAAAGCAGCAGTTTTGTTTTGTTTCAGGATTTCTCTCCGCACTTTGGGCCATTGTCCTCTTGCACTGTGAACTGAAAGAAACTTGTTAGTCACTTGTCATGTCAGATCTTTGGTGCTTGTCCTGACACAGCTGTCAGCCTTCCAGCTCTGTGCAGTTCAGGGACACACAAAGAGGCGGTGACATGAATTATTTATTGCTCCTTGTGTGGATAAAATTCTGTGATAAGAAATTAAGACACTTCTGACAGAGGTGCTTGTTTAGTAAGAAAGATTTTGATGAGAGAGTGCATTTCCTTGAAGTGGGAGCGTGCAAGACACAAGATGGGTAAAACGGAACATGAAGGAAGATAAGTCATGTATTTCTGCTATATATGCTTCTGTGGACTCTGAACATATAAATGTCTACTTTTCAGAGCCTGAAACTTTAACCTCAAAATATCAAGTCCATCAAAGGTGTAGGGGCTCTGAACCTGCAAGCCTTATTCTGGTGGTTCGGTGACCTCTCCTTACCACATGTGAGCTGCGTTTCTCTAGAACATTTTAACCACCTTGGTTAGTGGAATAGAATAGAAAATTGGATTTCTAAGTGCTAATAATATTTGGGAAGAGGTGCTAATATTTGGCCGAGGTGCTTCAGTGCCTAAACTGAAAGTTGTGTTCATGTACTGTTTATTCGTTGTAGGGAGAGCAGCAATTTCACATTTGTATACATCATCCTTACCTTTTCATTTAGAATATTGTCATTCATCTAAAATTCCTTTTAATGTTTCCATGTATATGTAAAGTCCTCCAGTTACAAAGTTGGATGTGATCAGTCTTGGAGCTTGAATGGATAGTGACATTATGTAGCTTTTTCCCATGTGCTGCTAAATGACTGATATATTACATCATTTTCAATGAATAGGCCAGCTGATTCAACAGCATACGGAAAACCAAAACAATCATTTCTTCATACAAGAATGTCTTTCCTATATTCCTTCCAGATAAAGTCTTTTCTTCACAAGATCCCTGAACATTGTACTTGAGCCCTGACAGCTTTTATATTGCTAATGCCAGCTTATTTTCAAGTGCAGAAAGGAAAGGGGACATAAAGGTGAATTTGTTATTTGAAATGTTGATTGTATTCATGACATTTAAAAACTATCAAATTTTTATAATCTATGTAAGCTAGAAAAATTGACTTAATGAATTGATCTTTGTCTGCAATGGATTTTCACATCCGTATGCAGATTGTTTATTTTTACATTGGCATCACTCCTCAGTACGTATTTAACTGGGATGATCCAGTTGTAAATAGGCTGCAGGCTGCATATAGGTCACAGTTTAGATGCCTTATGGAGTGGTTGTTCACTTGGTCCCTAGAGTGATCTACCTTATTCATCATGCCACTGTGACCTCTTTATTGGTTCAAGCTGTATACCCAGGTGAGTGCCTCGAGTCCATTAAGGTTGGCAAAGCACCTGTCGACCAGAGCATGCCTGCTCCTTTGACCCTGCTAGTGGGCCTGGAGGTCTTGTCTGATGGGGGGAAAATATCCCTTAGTAGTGTCTCTTCTATGGAATAATTCATTAGCCAAGAGTTTTGACTCACAGGTGAATCCCAGATTGAAGTTTCCATCTTCAACTCTGAAGTCTACTTGCTCCTTTACTGGCATTTATACATTTCCGAAACCTGTGGGAATACCTTTGATGTCTAGTAATAGAAGCACTGACACAACATCACGAACTTGCAGCTCCCATTTCTGAGATGCCAGGGCCATTAGGCTGGCTGGCTTTGGTTCTTTAAGGCCTGTTGCCTCTGAATCTGAATGTTATCACAAAAATAGTCCAGCTGAGTATTTCGCTGGTTAACTTCATTTCCTACAGTCTTCATTCTATAGAGTATCTTCAAAACAAACTCATTGTTGCCAAGTATCTTTATGTTCATCATACTCATTGTCATAAAAACAAACTTAGTGTGACATTCACAATTTCTATGCCAGCGTTCAGACCAGGCCTTGAGCTTTCATCTTATTGACTTGGAAAATTTTAAGTGTGTTGTCCTTTGTACCTTGTAAAGTAAAAGTGGCATCAGCTGAAAACAGTGGCAAGAGGGCTTGAAGTCCCCCAAAATGCATTTGTATAAGTGTCTTTCCATCTTTCTGAAGTAGTTTATAATCAGTCTGCATTCTGCCATTAATAGAACATTTTAGTGGTTTTTATATAGCGTGTTATGTGTGTGGATCTATATACATCATTGTCAATCAATATTACATTTGCATGAATCTGATGAACAAAACTGGATTTCTCACTCAGTTTCCAGGGGCTAATTCATTGTGCAAAGCCAAGCTTGATTTTTCCTTTTACTATTCTGGCTCATGAATCACCAGCAAAAATGAGGTAACAGAAAGTAGGACAGATTCAGCACTGGAGTGTTGGAGATGGCCGATGATGATGCATGAAGCAGAAAGAATGTGGAATGTCTGAGCAGCCCATCAGTCTTAGCCATCAAGAACGTGCCTCTTAGGGTTAGTGCTGAAAAAGTGTTCTAGAAGGAAGAATGATTTCAGTAGTACAGTAGCTCTTTCTTCAAGTTGTTTTAACAACATCAATATTTCTAAATATTAATAGCATCAATAATTCTATTAATTTACTCAGAATATTCAGGCATCAATGCAATCACTTAAAAAGCATGCAAAAGTGTTTTCATAAGATGTACATACATGTTCACACATTTATACACGTTATTAGTTTAAACAAAATCAACATTTTCAGTTTTCACCAATAGGAATGGTAATTTACTATTCAGGGTCACTTTATTAATATAACTCCACTTAAAAACTTAAGGTACAGTACTCCAGTTGGTTACTGAAAATAATTTACATCTAGTGAGATCCAGTTAGTCTTAGAAATAAGTGTTTGTTGTCTACAATGCAAACCACATTAATGTTTATAATTAGTGCTTGATCCTAAAACTGCAGTTTCAAGTTTGTTTAGAGAAATCTGCAATTTAGAGAAATTTACTAATTCCATAGCAAATTCATCACCTTTTTCAATTACTTTAAAAATCCAACTTATTAGTGAGAAATTAAAGTTTCCTGGTTTGTAAAACTGTTAACATACTTCATTTCAAGATTATAAATCATGTAGAAATTACAGGCAGTACCTTTACCTCATGATTTTTCCTTCATTCCTCCCTTCCTCAACCCCTTCTCTCATTCCTTTCCTTTTCTCTTTCCATCTCATTTTATAACCCAGAATGTGTTTTTTTCCTTCTAGGTGGGCCAAGACATCACTCATGGATATTAAAGGTGTGTTCCTGCAAGGTGTGCTAAATAGTATCTCAGCTGTAGGAATTGGATTTGGACAAACTAAGAAACCCCAAACATGTTTTTGTTCATCACTGTATAGAAGCAATGTTATTGGTCAAGTTATTATGCTGTAGTGGCTTGGCTATTTCTTGAGTCTGAGTACATTCAGACTATAGTTACTGCTTTAAAAGAGCTCACCTGCTTTTAGAAAATCATTGTACAAGTCATTCAGTACACCTGCTTCTTTCAGTATTTCCAGTAAGGAATGCTAGCCCACAGATGCAAATTTAACACTATTTTCTTGTGTTTTCCTTTATCTCTTCAGTCCTGGAATTATATAATCAGCCACATTAAAACCAGCATAACATGATACTTTAAAATTGATTGGCGCTTCCATGTAGTTAAACTTAAAACTTTTATAGGTTAGGACATTTGTTTAGTGGAGGCTTATATGCTCCCTAACCATGAAATGTCAGCAGGGAGCCAGTGGGTCCCCTGTCTCCAACACTCCAGGCCAGACTTGAGAAAATGCTCAGTATCACTAGCTATCAGGGAAATGTAAGTGAAAAACCACAACGAGGTTTCACCTCACCCCAGTTAGAATGGCTCTTATCCAAAAATCAAATACCAAATGCTGGTAAGGATGTGAGGGAAAAGGTACCCCTAATCCACTGCTGTTGGGAATGTATACTAGTATAGCCATTATGAAAGAGTATGGAGATTGCTAGAAATCTGAAAATAGATCTACCATATGACCCAGCCATCCCACTCCTGGGAATACACCCAAGGGAAGTGAAATCAGCATATGAAAGAGTTGTCTGTACCCCTATGTTTATAGCAGCTCAATTCCCAATAGCTGAGAAATGGAATCAACCCAGATGTCCATCAACGGATGATAAAATGTATATACACACGCACAATGAAATACTACTCAGCCATAAAAAAATCCTGTTTTTACAGCAAAATGGGTGCAAATGGAGACCATTATGCTTAGTGAAATAAACCAAAGCCCAAAAAATAGTGTGGTTTCTGATTTGTGGTAGTTCATGTAGAGTACAAAAAATTGTAAGTGTAAGTGAAATTGACATCTATGACTATTGTTTATAACCATTATCTATATATTCTTATGGAACACTGGCCTTTTTCTACTTTAATAGTTGAACACTGTGCTTAGTGGAACATTAAGCCTGTGATTAATTGAAAATGTTTTCACAAGATCAAAAGAGCAAAGTGTCATTATATCCTTAGAGTTCTATGAAATACATGTAAATTTTATGAAAAGTATTGTAATATTGTCAACCAGTTGTATGTAATCAGTTAGTCCACATGTGATGACAGTGTGACAGTGGCCCATCTTGTTCAGTCTAGTCAACTTGGACTTCTAGTGACATTGAAGCTAAGGTATTTAGCTGAAGATTTATCTAGTTGGCCCATCTTTGGCTAAACACTGATCTAGATGTGAACTGGGAAAGAGATCTACTTATATCACAAGTGATCCCTTTGAATATAAACTTAGGAATTCTCCCACAAAGAAGCTTGACTGGAAGGGATTCTGTAAAATTTATGAAGCAAATGAAATAAGAGTATGCATTTATGAAGTAGCCTTTAGTGATCTGATGTATTTACTTGAATTTATATGGTCTAATTCCTTGATTTAAATAAAATCAAAGATAATTTTATGTATATATTATGAATGCAAATATTACCTTAGCCATAGGAAAATGAAGGCAGAGTATTAAATATGTGATACAGCTCTAATAGGGAAATTCTAGTCACTTCAGCTCAACAGGTATTTGAGTATCCTTGCAGATCCTGTGCCGGGAGGCAGTGGGAAGGAGATGGAGATTAGAGAATTTGTATCTGAAATGCCATCCTCTCTGCCCTAAGGAGTTTATAATTAGTGGTCAACCTCAGTAATACAGAGTGCAGACATCAAACGGCTATGACTTTTCAGTTAGATCAGAGTGTGCATTTTGTTTCCTAAACTATGATGCTACTACTTGAAATTACTTTTGAGTTGTTTAGAAATTTTACATGCTGTTAATGTAAATGACAGAAAATCATCACCCTTTTAAAATGATATTACCTCTGTCTCCTTCAGGAATAGCAAAAAACCATTTGAAACAAATTTTCAAATAAAGCAAAGTAGCGAACTAAGCAACTGAACATGTTTTATTACAGTCTGTAGTGGCTCTCAAGGCCATTAGAAGGAAGGAGGACTTTCAAAAATATTTTGAGGGGGCCAGTGCTGAGGCATAGTTAGCCGAGCTTCTGCCTACAGTGCCAGCATCCTATTTGGGCACTGGTTCCAGTCCCAGCTGCTCTTCTTCTGATCCAGCTCCCTGCTATGGCCCGGGAAAGCAGAAGATGGCCCAAGTCCTTGGGCCCCTGCACCTATGTGGGAGACCCAGAAGCAGCTCCTGGCTTCGGATTGGCACAGCTCTGGCCCTTGTCTCTTCCCCTAACTTTCTCAAATATAAAAAATATTTTGAATGATGTCAACATCAGAAGAGCATATGTTTTCTAATGGGAGAAATTTGAATTAAAAATTCGATGGTCAAGTTCCTGTTCATTTAAAATAATCTTCAGGGGGCAGATGTTGTGGCACAAGAGGTAAAACTCCCACTTAGGATGCCCACATCCTGTATTAGATGCCAATTTGAGTTCTAGCTACTCCACCTCTGATCCAGCTTACTGCTGATGTGCCTGGAAAGGCAGCAGATGGTGGCCAGTACTTGGGTCCCTTCCATCAGCATGGGAGACCCAAATGGAATTTCGTGGTCTTGATATCAGCATGGCCAAGACCTAGCTGTTTGGGCAGTTGGGGTGTGCATCAGTGGATGGAAGCTCACCCCCCCCCCACCTTCTCTGTCATTCTACCTAATTAACAAAAGAAATAGGGTTTAACAGTTGTCATATTTAGCATTTTTTCTAGAAAGCAAAATTTGATAATTAGTTTGATGTTACTAACTATGGGAAATTATAACTAGCATAACCCTGATATTCCTGAATGAAAATGACTTTTTGGCCTCACATTGGGGACACTCAACTATAAAACTTTAAGTAACTTAAAATACACTTCATCAAAATGAATTCTAGAGACTATCATTAACTATCAAAACTTTTAATTCCTGAAAATTGAAGTTCTAGATATTTAAATAATGCTTTCCAAATATCCTTGCACAACTATACTATGACACAAACCCACTGCTGTTTTAAAACGACTTGTTTATGTTATGCCCACCATGTTCTAGTAATTTGTTTTTAGCAGACTTAAAATAGCCATACATTGAGTGAACCCTATGGTTGACTACTTGGTAACATGACTAACGACTCAACACAGACTTCCTCTTAGTTAGGCGGTTGTTTTGTGCACCCAGCATTAGGTAACCACTATTTGCAATAGTGCACAAGTTTGTATTCAGTCTCCCAATTCTTCCGTTGGTATAATAAACTTGTAATGAATTATTTTTTGTCTTTGGGGTAGCCATCTTTACACCCCTGGATTTTATGTTTTGTGGTTACAACTTGGCTGTATTGTATTTTGCCTAACTATGGAGAGCAGAGTTTAGAGCAGCATAAGCTTGCTGTGTGCTTCTCAGAGCCTCCTGTCCTCACCTGCACCAGAGAACTTCCTCACAGATGGCTCAGAGAGCAATCTGTAAAATGCTATTAAGAAAAATGTATAGTATTATGGATAACACTGTTCAAGACACAGCCTCCAGCCTCAGTCTTATTTTAGAAACTGAGTCAGGGGCCGCTGCTGTGGCTCACTTGGTTAATCCTCTGCCTGCGGCACTGGCATCCCATATGGGCACCAGGTTCTAGTCCCGATTGCTCCTCTTCCAGTCCAGCTCTCTGCTGTGGCCCAGGAAGGCAGTGGAGGATGGCCAGGTCCTTGGACCCTGCACCTGCATGGGAGACCAGGAAGAAGCTTCTGGCTTCAGATCAGTGCAGTGCCGGCCGTGGCGGCCATTTGGGGAGTGAACTAATGGAAGGAAGATACATTCTGTCTGATTCAGTTTCTTTGACAGTTACAAAGTCCCTTTGAATATTTCATTGTTGGAAGTAAGTTTGACCTTCAGTAGCATTTGGGTAGACTTTTCTGTCCCTATAAACTTTCAAAACTTAAGTGTCTTAGTACTTTTAAGTATCCCAATGCACATTTTTGAAAAGGTACTTTCAATTTCAGAGAGCACATTGTAATAACTGAAGTTTATAAAAATTAAGTTTTATGCCATGTGTTGAAAATGAAGGCTAATACGTAGCTACAGTTGATTTGAGTCTGATTTGAGTCTTAGTTCCACAGAATGGGCTACTTTTCTGTTGGATGTATCTCGATGGCTGCATTATTTTAAAGCAGTGGTATTGTGATTCTTCACACAATGTCTATGTAAATTTCCCAAAGTTGTGTTTAATTTCATAAAAGTCATTTCTTTGTAAATATTTGCATACTAGTATTTAACATTTTCAAAATTAGCTGCAACCAAAAAAGTTGTGATGCTTGTGGCTGGTGTTGTAGCACAATGAGGTAAGCTATTGCCTGCAATGCCAGCACCCTGTATTGGAGTGGTGGTTGGAGTACCAGCCTCTCTGCTTCTGATCCAGCTCCCTAATGTGACTAGGAAGGCAGTGGAAGAGGGCCCAAGTATTTGGGCTTCTGCCACCTACATTGGAGATCTGCTTGGAATTCCAGACTCCCGATTTCAGCCTGGCTGTTTTGGCTATTTGGGGAGTCAACCAACAGATGAAATATGGCCCACTTTCACCCAACTCCTGGAGTCTGTGTGGCAACTCCGTGCTTCTTGCCCCTTCTTGCCCCTTCCACGCTCCCTCTCAGAATGAATCCTCCCAGAAGAAATCAACTTCAACAAAAAGCCACTCTAAATTGCTACTGGTTTGTTTTTTTTCTCCCAGCTTCAGCCATCACAGCTTTTGTTCTATGCTTCAGCATTTGCCTATCACTTATTTTAGAAGGTTTTTGGTTTGTTTGTATATATACGTTGTGTATATCCTTTTCACTCTGCTTTTCAAATAAATTTTTTAATTTCCAAGTGAATATTTTCTTGAGTAGATGTTCTTCTGGTGAAGTTACCTGGCATCATACAGTGCCCCGCCCCCCCAATCACTTTGCTCTGGAATATGGTCAACAAGGATGCTACAGATAGTAGGGCTAAGACAAAGGTAAACCAGAAAGGACAAATCTCCCAGGAAGAACATGCCTATGGGAGCTTCCCTCCAGCACATGACCCTCTGGAGATGGCTTATGTCACTTCATCTCGCTAGCAGGGCAGGGACCAAGGTGAGGCTGCCCTGGCACAACCCCTTCACTGTGGACTCTCATCCTGACCTCTCGAATACTATCTTTCCCAGAAATTTTAATATGGATTTTTTGCAATTGTCTTGTTATTTTAATATGTGACCTGATGTTTTTTCTATTACTTGTTGGTCTTGACCCTGTTCATGAAGTCTAGCATAAATCCACTTTTACCCTAGAAGGCATACTGCAGGTGATTTAGACTGATAACTACACCATGAGCTTCATTATAATTGATTCCAATGCTAAGTAGTAGTTATTTTAATAGCATGCAAAAACTAAAACCATAGACCAGCAAAATATGGGACATGGATCACTTCTAAAGAATGGCGAGCATGTTTCTTGACATTGTTTCTCCAAATGCTGTGCTTTTTTTTTTTAACTGTTGTTTGTTCCAAAAAATCTAATGGATGAAGGCGTGTGTGCAACTCAGAGTTCCTTTTGGTACCAAACCAGTAACAAAGGACTGTGATTTCTGGAAGAACTGGTTTGAATCTTGCCTCTGCCACTCATTATCTATGTGCTTTTAAGCAAAATAGTTAACTTCAGTGTTCTCTTTAACGTATTTTCCCCAGAAACCTTTTGAGGTATACAATCACGCATTCCATGAATACAACTTTAGGAATATCAGCCCTTCTTCCTCCCCCTCTCCTATTCTCATTCTTACTTTTTCTAAGACCTAGTTTCAGTTAACTTTACTCTTTAGAGTTAATCTTACGCATATAAACAGTTAAACAGCTGTTTTTAAAAAGCCATTCCAGAGCATATTTTCTGTCATGAATAAAGGGAAGAGAATAACACAAACTCACCAGCATGGACCGGCTTATTAGGGAGTAACCCTGAGAGGGACCCTCGATCACTGTGAGACCCAGGGCCTTGCTTCCTGCACAGGCTAGGATTTGAAAGGCTGATTTTGAGCAAGAATTCAGGGGGTTTGGATCTGTACTCAGTTACTTAGGCAAGGAACCAAAAAGCTGTGGTGGAATGCGGTGAGAAGGTCCTGCCAAGATGGCCACTGACAACGGAAACTGCCTAACAGGCAGTGATTGGATGGCTTCGGAAACCACATGACAAGAGCCTGGCCAGCAGGCTATGAGTGGACGGTTTCAGAAACTGCCTGGCAACAGGCTGTGATTGGATGGCTTTGGAAACTGCCTGGCAACAGGCTGTGATTGCTTAGGGCATAGACTGCCCCTTGACCGGATTGGCTGCCTTGGCTACATAAGCAGCTGTAGCAACTGAAATAAGTGAGTCTGCGGGCTGCTCGCCTCTAGCCCACTTTCACCCAACTCCTGGAGTCTGTGTGGCAACTCCGTGCTTCTTGCCCCTTCCACGCTCCCTCTCAGAACGAATCCTCCCAGA